TTAACACCTAAAACCAATAAAAGCAGAAAGAGATTTCAGACAGCTCCGCAAATCCTCACTGTCTGAGAGAAACACACGACAAAAGCAATTGTTTGATGTTGACCAAGCCTAGAAATGCTCACTGTGACACTTTAGCGGTTACGCCTCTTTAATTGCTTCTTAGCACAAATGACAAAACAAGCAATCAAAACACAGCAGAAAAAATATATTCAGAAGTCAGAAAAAAGAGGCACTACTGTGAGCAGAAACTGTATAGAAGACCATGAAGGTGTACAGAACAACATTTCCAAATGCAAAACAAAGCAGGATGCTGTTTCGGTGAGCTAAAAACAGGAAACTGGATCCTGAATTTGCTCTAGCCTGAAGGACTCTAGAGAGATCACAATCAAAGCATAGCTGGATGGAAGAAAATAAGTCTAGCATCATCTAAAACATTTCAGATAGCTTCCATTTTGATCCCAGCTTTAGGGAAAATACGTTAGGAGACAAGAGGAATTTAATTCAAGCACCATATTCAGGTTTCCATTTGAATAGATGTGTGTAACATGGAAAAGCTACGCAATAGTCTAATGTCTGTTTTGGTTAACTTGATTCTTTATCCACCTCGTCTGGCTGATGTTGGCTTGCAACCTGTTTTTGAAACACACCCTCCATGCAGACGTCATGGCAGCACAATAATGATCATCATGCTACTAATGACCACACCTCTAAGCAGTTAGGCTGATTTATGCCATTGCAGAAACAAAGTGGGGATTGTTTAGGTTTAAAAAAAAAGATGCAAATTATGGGTGTTTTTCAGCAGATCGGTGGGGAAACGAAGCAGATTCGTACACATGATTCTCGATGACCATGTGGGTTCTGCAGAGACATTTGACGTGATACTCACTCTACCTGTCAGTGCAGTTTCTTGGCATTTGATTTGTGTTGTTTCAAAGAACTCCACGTATAACTACCGTCTCTGTGAGGTGATGCACTCTGACAGGAACCAGTTCCCAATGTCTGCATTTAGAGATTTAAAACACATCATACAAGGAAACAGAGACATTTTAAGTTTCATCGACTAAATATATTGGACCCAGAGCTTTTAACAGTGGTCACACAGCTCTGATTCCCTGCAAGTTTCACACCACAGACTTTAATTCATTTACTTGCCCAACTTATTAGAGACCACATACCGACAAACACACCCGACCTATATATGTGCTAATTGCAAGTTCTGTTTATTACATATGCCAACTGCTAAGCTCTGAAAGCTCCAAAGATCTGCTTCCTGGGAGTCAAGCCAGACCTCCCCCCCCCTCACATCACCATGGAGAGGCCCCTCCAGTGCAGGGTGAGAATGGATTGCAGGGATCCAAGCTCAGCTATTTAGTTCATTCACAAATCTAAATTAAACTTATTATGATCTTTTTAAATCTTTGTTTTTCAGTGCAGGATTTTAGGCTGATTGTTTAATCAAACTAAAGCGTTTAGGGCCTCTCCCTTAAACCAACAATCTGTACTGGTATAATAACAGCGTCATGCATAGAAAACTGGGTAAACTGGGAGAGGCTGTAAACATGAAACTGACATCCCAGCAGGCTGCCTTTGCAACAGGTGCAGCAGCTCGACAGGTGTGAAACTTACCTGAATGGGAGCTGATGTTGATTATTTTCAGGAAACTCTGATCCAGGGAGAGAAAAGGTTCCTACGTGTCTCACTGCTTCCCTGCGTTTGTTGGAACATTTAATTCCCCGGATTGGCGGAGCTGCCGTGGGGGCCAGCAGGTACAGTAGCAGCTGGAGGTCTGGGAGTGGCTCTCACTTTCGGGATTTAACTCTTTCCTCCCCTTCACTGAGCTCACCAGACCTGTTCCTAACCTGTTCCTGCGCGTCTGGCTGCGCAAAGCGCGACCTGCTGCAGCTCAATCCTTCCAGGATGGAGTCAGCTGAAATCTGCTGCTTTTTCTGCACCATTACAGGAACTCCTCTTTTTTTTTTTCCCCTTTACGCCCATTGAAATGGGAAAGCATTCATATGCAAATGAGCTGGCACTGAAAACAGAACCCAACTGCTAGAAGAAGTGGGTCAGACCCAGAATCCTATCAAGATTCGGATCAGTCTCACATTGGAGATCAAAAACACTAAAACCAGCTTACAGGTCAGAAAAATAAAAAGTTTTATACATTAATCACATTAGTGTGTGGGCTTTGTTTTAGCTCAAATTGGACTTCCTGTAGAACCATCTAAGTTATGTAATGCAACCATCAGCCCATTTCACATTTAGTCACCTTATAATACAAACATTTAATCAAATTTAGCTGAGTGGAAGAGGTTTAAGACCACTGAAATAAAAGGAAATTATTGATTTTTAAATATTATTTCAGTTTAATAGGAAATAAAAAGAATTCTGACTTTAATTTCAGAATTCTGCTTTAATCTCCTAATTCTGACTTTAATCTCATAATTCTGACTTTTTTTTCTGAGAATTCTGACTTTTTTCTGAGAATTCTGACTTTAACCTCAAAATTCTGACCTTAATTTCATAAGTCTGACTTTTTTTCTGAGAATTCTGACTTAATCTCAAAATTCTGACTTTAATCTCCTAATTCTGACGTTAAGCTAATAATTCTGACTTTTTTCTGATAATTCTGACTTTAACCTCAAAATTCTGACTTTAATTTCATAATTCTGACTTTTTTTCTGAGAATTCTGACTTAATCTCAAAATTCTGACTTTAATCTCAGAATTCTGACTGAATTCTGACAGCTAACAAACATGTTAGCATCAAGCTGTAGCCACGTCTGTTTTGGAGACTAAACTCTAGCTCTCTTGATTTAATCACCTTCTGCTCCTCCAGTAATGAAACAGCATCACTGGGGACCCCTCGGGCATGTAAAAAGTTGCCTAATTTGCCCAATGTGTTACTGGCCCTCCAAAAACAGCTCACATCTTTGTCAGTGAAGCTGAGTGCTCCCACATCTCATCCTTCATGGTGCCATTTACATTAAGATCCAAAATTCTGAGATTAAAGTCAGGATTCTGAGATTGAAGTCAGAATTCTGACTTTTTTTCTCATATTATACTGAAATAAAATGTAAAAATCAGTTAAATTTTTTGTTTTTTCAGTGGCCCTAATCCTCTTGTTAGATCAATGCAGAAAAAAAGAAAATATTGGTACATAAAAAGTAAACCCCAATTAATAAAAACATTCAAAGTGTGGAGAACTTTTGTATGCGGTCAGTATTCAGTTACCATGAAGCCCCAGGGCAAAAGCTGGGGGTTCAAACAATCATTTTTGTTGCAAATGAGTATTTCCAATGAAGATGTTGTCCCTTGTGGGTATTTGGATGAATCAAATAAAAATAATTTATATGTTGCTTCAGGCAAAGTTTATAGAAACTCTCCATCCAATATTACTGAGCAGAGAGAAAATTCCTTCATAGTTTAATTCACAGTCAGGAACCCGCTTTTTTAACCCTATAGGAAACTCGTATGTCTAAATGAACTAGTAGATTTTAAGGAATAAAAAAATATGTCAATTTTTGCACACATTAATTCATTTTTAAATCAGTGCAGGTTTTGTCATAGATGTTCAAAGAAAATCATAAATATTATGTAACTTTTGACAAAATCCCTCTGTGATCCTTAGCATTTAGGATCCCAGCTGTCAGCGTTTAAAAATGACAACCAAATCCTCTCCTTGTATTAAATGATAATTACATCAGAAACTCCAAATAACTGAATAACAAAACCTAGATTTAGATGCCATTGAGTTTTCTTTCTGCTTCTTGGAGAGGGAAGTGAAATAATGCGAGGTTAAATAACAAAATTTTACACTGTGGAGAAATTTCAGCCATGCAACTCATTCAAACACAGACGTATTATCATGCACGCTTGCATTTTTTCATTCTGTTGTGTTTATATGATAATAGAATCATGTCTGATCACAAAATGTTTGTCTGTTTTATTTTTAAATATTCATTTCTATTGTTATTCTACCTATTCAGTCCACCTTTTAGACATCAGTTGTACAATCTGCATTGTTGGAAGGCAATTTTATTTTAATTTAAATTATTGTGAATTTGATTTCAGTTTCTGAATAATGACAGCTGAATGCACTAAAGACCCCCCGCTATACATTTGACGTCTAAAATTATCAGAAACAGGAAGATCTGCCTTTGGAGCTCCTTCTACAGAGCAGTGGGAAAGTATTTACAACCTTTGGCCTTTTTACCATTTTGTCCTAATTTTCAATCAAACAGATTCATGTATTTTACTGAGATTTTATATTATAGGCCAACCCAAAATTATTTTCTCTGCTGCATAAAAATATAAGCAACACTTTCAGGTTATAATTTTGTAAACAAGAGAAACTATATAACATTTCCTTCTGCACAGCGGTGAACTAGCTTGTGTTGTTCTGTCATAAAAATATATTCTAGATAATAAAGTTTGAGATCATTAAAGGTGGAAAGTTCAGGGAGGAAGAATATTTCCGTGCTGCAGTAAACGTATGATTTCCTCCACTCAGAGGACCCATGTAACACTTTCTAAAAGCACAAAATAAATGTATTTTTGATTTCCCTGCAAATGCCGTACCTTAATATAAATCTATATTGTTTGATTCTAATGAAGTGAAAACTGTGCAGGAGTTAAAAACATATGTGCATTATGTTATTTTACTTGCAGTGGAGTTAAAACCACTTTTCTATAAGGTACAGTATTTATTATTCATTGTAAAACATCAGTTTATTTGGATTGAAGGACTTAATTGTCTGCATGAAAACTAAAGTAGAGAAATTCAAATATCCAAACTTTTAATTACCTTTTTTTCCGTTTGTTAGTTTTGTTTTTCTCAATGATTAGAAACCAGCAGTTCAAATTTAAAAGAAATGATCTAGTAATGTCTCCCACACTGGAAAGTAAAATCGCGCCATCTAGTGGCTGCAAACGCATCTCCGGCTCACTCGTCCAATAAGACTGATAACATTAAAAGGTGATTTTGTCTAAAATCATTACCTGCTCTTTGTCTGCTGTCAGAGCTGAACTTTGAAGCAGCGGGGCTGATTCTTTTGGTGGGGATCCAGCAGGATTAGGAGGCTCAGGAAAGGAGTCACAATCAGTTACGCTTATTTCAGGAGGTGTGTCATAGAAGTCTGGGGGAGGCAAAGGGAAATCCATATCATCCATGATGGGTGGGGGTAAATCCACAGGTTTATCCTCCACACAACCCTGTGGCTCCTCTCTGGATTTGTCCCCCTTTGAGATTTTTGCCTGCTTCATTTTTTTTTCTGCAGGCCGAGGTTTTGCGTATAGTTCTATGTCCTCAGATATGTCTGCTTGTGGAGCAGCTGATGCCCTGCGTGAAGAGTTTGGGGACATCTCTTTCTGTATGTCATTCAAACTGTGTGCACGATTGCGTGCTGCTGGAGCATCTTCACTTTGCAAGTTCACCCACAAACCAAACGTAGAGAAGCGGATTGTTTCTTTTGATTCACTCCGAAGACGAGTCACTGTTTTTGTGTCAGGGGATGTTTTCTTGGTCATGTCCGCTAAGTTGTTCTTTGCCCCATCCACTGGTTTACTTCTAGCCAGACTCTTTGATGATTCTGGCTTCTTAGGAACAGAAGAATCTCCAGAAGGAACTGAGACCTCTTTCACGTACTCTGCAGGGACGTAAAAGGGTTTGGAGTCTTTGTCTTTGCAGACTTGCCACCAGTGATCGTTGGTCTTGGAGATGAGGATGTACCTCTCGTTGGGTTTGATGGAGATACGCCGGCCGTCCTTTGCTTTGTACTCGTAGTCGAACTCCACCGCCACGAACGCCATCTCACCGGCCCTCCTGTGGGAGCTCAGTTAGCGCGGGGGCAGAGCTGACATTGTTGGAGCTGCAAATAGAGGAAATGTGATTTTAGAGTAGGTTTCAGAATGAGAAATGTCAACAAGAAGCACTCAGTTCTTTCTCCCACACTTCCACCTACTGAAACAAGTTTCTGTCCCTGTCCTGTTTTTGTTGCTCAGTATGTTTATATGTCACTGCATTACTGCATTATTGGTTACACTTTATTGTATGTTTATTTTATACAACCTCCCCAATATGAAGAAGTGTTTTTTTTAAATCAGAGTTTCTTACAGCATTACCTTTTGGGCTTTTTCTACTTTTCTTTTAAAGATTAAACTATATGCTTGGATCTAAACCATTATATTGAATCCTTTCCTGCAGATCTAGTGTTGTTTTTCTGCTTTTTGCTGAGCCTCAGTCCTAATCTCACATATGCTGATGAAGGTTCTCAGTCATCCAGGTCATAGTCATTCCGTAAAAATTCTAAATTTTGAATTTTTACGGAACTAATCTCACATATTTACAGCCTCTTATATTTTTTCTTCCAAGATTGAACCATATTTAGGTCCATCGAGCTTCTCATCTGTTCAGACTGACTTTTCTGCCCCCTCTAAGTAAATTTGTCCCCAAAGTATGATGCTACCACTGTCATGATCTGCCTTGATAGCTGGCCTTAATTGCTCATTTCACTCACCTGCCTAGTTCTGCCCGGTTTCTAATCATCTCTGATCTCTTTCACCTGTAGGTTCTGCTTTATATTCGGTCCAGCCCAGATATCAAGGCCAGATTATTGTTTGCTGTTTGTATGATTTCTGTTTCTCCTGTCTGTCAGTTTTGTCAGTTTTAATTATTTCCAAGGTTCATGTCCCTGTCCCAGGAGGCCAGTGGGTTTAGTCTTGTCGTCTCTTGATCGCGTCCTGGCTCTTTCCCACTGAGTTCTCGTTGTTCCTGTTTTTGCTCGTTGGAGGGGAAGCTAGTTTAAAGTCCCGTAATCCTGGCTCCTAGGTGGAGACCAGTTTAAAGTTTCTGCAGTTATCCTGGTACCATGTCTTGTCTCTGTCCTTCAACCACTGAGCCTGCCTGTCTGCATCTGTGCGTGTCTGTCTGAGCTCGCTGCTGGACTCTGACCCTGCCTTCATGCTATGAGGATTGCTGGAACCCTGGATCTGTCTGTTCCTGTATGGATCAGATCCCCTGACCGGGCTGTGGACTCCTGGATTCCAGAACTGTCCTGTCTGATCTGTTTTCTCTGACCTGGATCGGATCCCTGCCTGCTCCCTGAGGTTGCTGCATCAGGGACACTCTGGGCAACTTTGCGCCGTAGCTTGTTTGGAAGTCCATTGGTTGGCTCCTGCCTTCCTCGGAGAGGGTGGACTGAACTGATTAACCAGAGTGTAATTGATTGGGCGATGCCCCGCCTCCCCCCCTGTAGCCACTGCGGTCCGCAGATCCACAGCGGCCCACTTCTGTTCCGTTATGTGTTTTGGGTAAATAAACGCTTTCAACTGTCCTATTGACTGTCTCACCTTAAACACTGGGTCCATTTGTCCCTGTTTTCTGACAACCACAACCGTGCATTACCTTTAAGATGTTCATTCTTTTTACAGTGATCTTCACAAATGGTTTTCGACACACACAGCAGTTTTGATGAAGGGAAAAGGTTCTCGTCTGACATAAACATTAATTTTCCAACAGATCAGATGTGTGATCCATGAAAAAAATAGTTGTTGACAAATTATGTGGTTTGTTCACTTATGTTTTCTAAAGAAAAACTGGATTTTTAAAGATTTTTTACAGACTTTGTTATCTCTTTGTCATAACTTTTGTACATTAATGACTGCTGGTGGATCTAGGTTCAAACTGTTGAATAAAGGTGCTTGAAAACTTAAGAGACATCCAGGTAAGGCGGTGGATTCGGGGAAATGGTTTACTAGTGTGTCTTTTTGCGTTAAGATGTTTTTTTACTTCAGTTGGTTTTAAATATGGTTTTGTTTATTCTTATTTTTCTTGTTTTATCTTTATTTTGATGTGCAAATTATACTTCTATGGTGAATTCAAACAGTTATATGTTGATCAGCAAATTTTCTCTGTGAAAATTATTAGAAATAAATCTATCTAACAACTGGTTGTGTTTATTATACATACAAGACAAGGTTATATTTAAGACATTAAGACTTTGTTAACTTAAGCAAACTTTAAGTTAAGACTTTATTTAGGGGCATCAGGGTAAATATAAATTCAACAATTTTGAAACCCATCAGCTGTTTTCTATTCCTCATTTTAATTTTGAACATTCAGTGTGATTCAGGTGTAACATTTTGATAAAATATTGAAGTTGTGGTTGTAACCTGGCAAAACAAAATGAGACAGGACTGTTTTTTACAACTCTGTGATGACAGGTGTGAGCAAAGAGGAGCAGTTTGGCCAAAAAAGAGAACGGATCCTGTAGGTCAAAACCTGTGAAACAATCAGTTAAACCTGGTTGATTAGTTGTTTTGTTTTTATAACAACAGGACCAGATCTGATTTCCTTAGTAAACATGTAATAACAGGATTTATCAACTGTCCCTGAAGTCTTGGGTCATAAAATAGTTTGAGCCCGATCCTGGAAAATGGGGTGTCCACAGGAAGTGGACCTGCTGTGGTCAGAACCACCTGGAGCTAAATTTGTTGAGAAGAGGGAGGACCTCCAGAGAACACCAACACTACCAGCCCCCCAGGAAGCACAGCCTTCCACAGGAACTGCTAGTCATCTTTGTTAGGTTTGGCTTGCCTGCGAAACAGGACAGGTCCCAACTGTAACAAACAGACCTGCAGAGATGATTATCCTACTGCCCATCCCTTCATGATCTGCAGGTATAAGCCAAAATAAAAAAATACTCCACGACTCTCGGCACCTCATCCTGTTCAGAGCGTGTTCAAACTCTTCAGGGAAGAGCTACACAGTGCTACATGCAAAAACAAACCGCCACAAAGACTGCTTCTCTCTCCTCAGGGCGTCTCTCTAATGAACACAGTGAACTGTCACAGTCGGGTAGTCAGATGCTCCACTAGAACAATCGAGGCTTTTGTATGATTTAATCTAGCTTTCCACTTTTTATTTACCAGCAACAAAACAAACACTTGGACAAAGCATTTTTACATTTGTTGCTTGTTGTTTAGTCTATTTGTTATCATGTGACCAAAGTCAAATTGATTTTTTTACACGTACAAACTTGCCTATTGAAGTTGATTTTGAAGTGCTGCTGGTTATTATGCACCATTAAGTGTCGGTTTATCACAAAAATCCTCCTTATACTTTAAACCACGTACAAGGAGGGAAAATACTTTTCAATTGGATTATATAAAATGTTGTAACACACTGATAGGGAATCAGGAAATTTATTTTTAGGTTCTTACTGCAGCTAAAACATTTCCAAACTTTTTATTTCAGGCAACATTTACTGACGCGGTGTCATTCTGAGGCTTTATGTATCAAATTAATGACTTTCTTCATTTTTGAGGGTATCATTGTCTCTTTTCTCCCCCCTACATTTCTCCAGGAACCTGTTCTAGCCTTAGTACCTGATTTTTATCAAAAGAATGCAGGTTAACAAGACGGGTTTGATAGAAGATTCTGTCTCGGCACACAGGAGATACACAGGAAGTCGCCTGCAAATGCATTTTTTTTGCTAAACTAATGCACACAGAACAACAGACTGCATAATGTTCACCCACAAAACAGGAAGCCTGCACCAAGCTCAGCTCTGCATCAGCGTGACGTCATCTAGCAATCTCAGTTTGCCTTTTTTTTTTATTCTTGCACTTAATTCATGAAACACTCAACAAAATTTTTTTTGGGGGGTGTTCTAAACTCCCTTCTGAAGCAAAGACAGAGGATAAGATCCTAGACACAAAACAAAATCCACTAATGTAAACTTTGAAATCCTTAAAGGGAAGGTAGTTTAAAATTAGTGTTGCCTTTAAAAAGTATTCTGACTTATTTTCTGATAGATTTCCTTCTAAAATTCCTCTTTAGTTTGGTATCCAGGTGTCATTTCACACAAAGCATTCAGCTGGTAAAGAGTCAGTAAAATAAAAAAAAAGAAAGGTTTTCACATTGGAATCTGAAACCCTGAGGCATATTTGTGTGCGTAATGATCTCTACTTGCCTGCGGATGTGTGTTTTCTCCAGATTTCCCTTCTGAAAGAAAGTCGATGAGCTGACTCTAACAAGGATCCAAACAGCCTGAGATGTAGAAATGTACATACAGTTGTGGAGCTCCAGCCTGCTGCTCACATCTACTGATTCTTTCTTCTCGACTGGCTCATTTCCTGTTCAGTGTGCCTTTACAGAAGGAGGCAAACTGTGAAACAACAGAGCTTTGAAAGCCACACGAAATGGGAAGTCTGACTTTACCCACACTTGCCAGTGAGTTATTGGCATGTAAATTATTTTTACGCTGGCTTGCTGACTTGGAGCAAGCGGAATGTCAGTGAGTCATGATGACAGAGTAACCAAGCAGCGCCCTGAAACAAAACAGGCACAGTTATGTTTTTATTGTTGTTGAAATGAGAGTAAAAAATTGATTGTTAATTTCAATTAAAACCATAATTATAAATAATAATAGTAATAATGGAAAATAACAAAACATGGTAACAATCATGTGAAGTGGTGACACTAGAAAAATAAAAAAGTGGATAAAATAAAATGATAATATTAATGTAAAATAATCTATCCAGCTACATTTATAAAGGCTTTACTCTAGTGTGGCAGGTTTACTTTAGTGAGCGGGTTGACCCTGGAGTACGCCCTCTGCTGGAGGTTGATGAGAAAAGCAACGCAAAGCCTTTGCTTTAAATTGAAATTATTTTATTCCAAATTAAATTTTGTTTCTCCCCATGCAGTTTTCTTCTGTTATATTTTTTTCCCAATTTTATTTTAAAAAAAAAGGAAAAATATGTTCATTTGGGAGTAACACTATCTAAATCAACCAGATCATATATTAGTAAATATAAGAATAAGAAGAAGAAAGAAGAACACCTGTCAATCAATAAATTACTTGAAAATAACATGCTTACCAAAAATAATGCTGATTAAAAGTAAGAAAATAATAACACAAAAACTGATAAGAAAGAACATTTTTGACAACTATCTGTATGGGAAGGGTTAAAAGGGCAATGCTTTGGGACTCCACAGCTGCAGCCATTGTTGAAGAAAACATAACGGTGAACCTTCCCAATGTGAGATCAATAAAGTTATATTATTATTATTATGATAACAAAAAGACTGGACAAAAAGTATGCCACTAGAAAAATGTGATGGATAAAACCTCTGTTGACCAAAAAGCTCAGAAGATCTGTCAGACCATAAGATGATGATCCCAGCGTTTAGCGGACTGAAAAACAACGTTGTACATCTGCAGAAAAATTAACGTTTATAAAATAACACAAGATGCTTACAGTTAAGCATAGTGTGACTGTCAGCATGGTGGTGGCAGTATGATGGCTTGGGGTTGAAAAAGTGTTCAGGCTCCTTAAGAGTCACTCCAGATTTGATTTTTGTTGTTATACTATAATTATTTGCAACAGTTTTACATTGTGTGCTTTATTTTGGTATCATACAGGAAGTGGCAGCGGCCATAAAAAGTGTTTTATCAGACATTGGTCTGATTCTGGAGAGAAAAACTTACAGGAAATCACATTTCCTTGTCCTCTTTATGCAGGCTGAGACTCGTTTGGGTTGGCCATTCTTCCTTTTGAGGAAAGTTCCACCTACTGTGTCAGAAAAAAAACCCCAAATGATTCCGTTGTGGGGTGGAGTGGAGTCTTAAACACCAACATGGCAACATAAAGTCTTGTAAGGTTTGGTATTTCATGCCTAAGGTATTTCCACAGTAGTTGAAGTACTCATTCAGCAGACAGTCCTCTGAAACACTATATGATTTATATATAATGACAGGTACATAGTATTGGCAGATAATCACCCTTGTGTTTCATAGGCATCTTGCAGTATAATCAATTTTTTGCCCACTTTTACATCGGATGCCTCTCACAACATGGCGGCCGCAAGAACGTAGAACGACGTAAATATCGAACAACAGAAGCGAACGTCGTGTCGTCACACTTTGTAAACCTGGTATGTCATGTAGAAATATCGGCTTTTATTGAACAGGAAGAGGAGCCCCACCAATGGCGGGGCATCAAAAAATTAGAGAAAACTCATGTTGTTCCTCTCCACGGAAATCTTTAGTAAAAGGCGAAAGATTTAAACGATCTGAAGAGAAACATGAGTGTATGATGAGAGCTGAGAACAACGGCTATTTATACTCCAACATACAATTCTGCCTGACGGTGTTGATGATCTCAAGTTTAAACTTAAACTACTGAATTAAAAAAGACTATAAATTGAAAGAACCATAAAGATAGTATCGAGGATAAGCAAAATTACCACAGCAAATACCAGTTAATGGATCTGTTAAGTGTAAATTCCAGCGGTAATAAGCAATGGAACGCATCACGCGGTGCATGATGGGTAAAGTACAATTGCTTTAGCATTAATGCTTGGTTAAGCTACCAATCCATAAACAGGTTGGTGGTGGCTTATTCGGTGGTTAAAACGAAAAACAAAAACAAAAACAAGGTATTAAACTTGGGAAAAATACATTTAAAACGATATTGAATTGAATGTTAGAGGCATAAATGGAAACACTTTCTGAAGTATGAAATCCACGAATATATGCAGAATAAGAATGCTGATAGAATGGAACGAAATGAACTGCAGATGTTATGCAGCTCATTATATATATATATATATATATATATATAATTATTACTATTTAAAATCAAATGAAATATACATAGGATCTTTTCTTTTACACAAGTAACTTGGATAATTTATTTTATTATATTTTAGAGCTATACAGAAAACATAGAAAACATATTTCTACAGATATTGTATTTATTTTATCTTTATTTAATCTTCATTGTTTCCTCTTTTGCCATTTCCTCTTTCCTTCTTCTAATCTCTTCCCTTCAAGGGTAAAATTCTTGTAATTCTGAGCTTAATACCTACCTACCATTCTCCAACTGAATCAAATAAAGGTCACAATGTGATGCATTGCCGCAATGTTTCGTTGTTATCTTGAAATAACTTTCCTATTATTCAATAGACAAATATTCAATAGGCATATATTTAACTGTTGACTATCCTGCGATAGGTTTGTTATGTACCTTAAGAGCACATTTCAACTCACAATGGTATGTAAGAGGCACTGGTGGTAAGCATTAAATTAATTCTTGAACTAGTTTTCCATTAGAACATTAGCTGCATTCTCTTCTCCAAAATACAGTTGGAACCCCCCACCACTACTAATTTACAAAAACATGTTCGTAAACATTAATAATTCTTAGTTTGCTACCATTTTGTTCTACATCGACTGATAACATCCTGCCACCTGCAACCTTTTTACCTTTTCTATATTTATATGGATCGACTACTGAATCACATCCCCAAACCAGAGGTTCCATTATGATTATCCCCTGCCGAAAAGGATTTTCCTCGTGTGCAATGGCTATTACCTTTTGTGTAATTGTCAATAAAGGCTAAACCACATTCTTGTAAAGAAAAAATAACTCAAATTTTTATTCATCTGAGCATCACTCAGCAGCAGTCATGTGACAAAGGACCTCAGTATGCAGCTGCAGTCTGAATGAATCTGCATACTGAACTCCTTCCCCAACATACTTCTGCTGAATGATGCTGAAATCTGACGTAGGAATGAGCAAAGAAATTATTTATTATTGTATTCTCATGTGCTCTTGAGCCCCTATATGGATAACCTCCCACCCAACTGTCTAAATCCGTTTGTTTTGCAGATAATATACAGTATATGAACTTTAGACAGAAGCATTGTCCTCTCCAGGCCAGCAGACACGTGTAAAAGACTTCTTACCAAGTTTATAAACATTTTCTAATGTTTTCTCATAATTTTACTGTATGTTTGTTATTAAGATCATACTGGATGAGAGTGATGCTGTTAAAGAGTGCAGTATATTGTACGATGCTCCATGATAATATTCTCCCAGACTCCAAATATTTCATCTAATCCATCTAAGTGACAGTGACAGTAAGCGTACTGTGACATACAAAAGGTCTGTCTGTAATGAGTTACAGTCTTCGCTTTTTTTGCCTAAATTTATTTTTATATCATCCACCTCCCTCTGTGTGAATTGTAGGCTGGCTTTAAAATCCGGAAACTCTCTCATCAGGTTTTCCATCTGAGCATAAGTCTATAATGCTATTAACACAGCAATGATCTTTAAAGATCATTGCTGTGTCTCCTTGTTTTTCTCCACTCTAATAGATGTTCCTCTCTGTTTGGGTCAGACACCGTTATTCCAATTCTTCTTTTTGGACTTTTGAGCCTGTGATTGACGATTCAGGGCTCTCGTGACATGATGTCTGTTTCCTCCTATTTGCTCTCTCCTTCTGTGACAAAAGGAGGGGTACATAGAGACCTTACATGGTGCGTTTGTGTGTGGCTGTTAGATTCAAGCACCTCAAACATTTATCAACATACAAGGAATGAAAGACAAGAACATCAGATCATTTTTCTCGCAACTCGAGCAGAACGGACAGAGATGTGTTCAGTTAAAATCTCCTACCGCTCTCAAACACACTCTGCCAAATCCTTTATTTTTATTTCAATAAAGGAGGTCCCTACTTACATGAATGTTGCTGATCTAAAGGGAGGGGACAAACAGCAGCAACAATATCTTTGTGACAGATTTACACAAGAATAAGCACTTTAAAAGGCATGCTATCTATCTATTTCACCCTTGTCAAGAGTGAGGAGACAGCTGCTCTCTGTCAACCCCACTTTAACTCCCTGCATAAGATTCCAACATGGAGACTGGTCCAAGATTTCTCCAAGATCGCTCCGTTTCAACAGCTCAACACAGAAATTAGCACCAGGCCATAGCAATTTTAAGGGAAACAAATAGATATTCAGTATAAAGGGTATTGTAAAAATGATTAAATATGAGATAACATTATATACTACATTTGGTCCAACAGGCTGTGAGGATGATTAAAAGTCTGTTTCTTTGCCGAGCTCCTGTGTTTGATTCTCTGGGTTTTCACTTTTGTTTTCAACCTTGGCAAAGAGCTGTGTGGAGAAAAAGAAAACAAATAAAGTTAACGTAGTGAAAAATAAATGTTAAAGGTTTCCTTTTGGCTTTTCCTTCTTCTTCCTTTTTTTTTTGATTGTAAAGTGAACAAAGACTTCACTCATGAGAATCCAGGGTGGAATAAAGATAAAAGCCAATGTAATGATATAAATAACGTGCTGCTGTCATTTTGCACTTCTCTGATGTTGCTGCTATTTTCAAACATCCATTAATTTAAAAATGTCCATAGCTGTATATTGGTTATTTTATTCTCCAAGTGCACAGTTTTATATTGTTATTGTAACACTTTACAGTACAGTTTTTTATTGTCTATATTTTAACTCTTTCCTATTATGTTATTCTTACACATTTTTATAAGGTCCATATTTGTTTGGCTATTTTCAATAATCTTTCTGCTTCTGTAAATTTGCCCATTGTGGGAAAATAAGGAGATTTTCTATTCAATTCTATTGTATAAAATGGGTAGAAAGATATAAGTAAATCTAAACAATGTATGTATAAAAAATACATCTGAAAAATCTCTAATATCCAACAACAAAAAATACTTAGTTAAGCAAATTGTGCAAAACAGCAATATAAAAAAAAAAAAAAAATCATATCAGATTTATAATCCCCTGCAGATATATTAGAATCTGTCCTTAAATTACAGCCAAACCTACTTACACAGTAACAGATAAAAACCTCTAGATAAATTAAACATCACTACCACATATCTGACTCAATAACCATTAAAACAACTATTTTCATTCATTTCAGACGGAACTATTCACATACTTGTATTATATTAAACTGAACTTCCAACATTCATCACTGTTCGGTGCCAAGTACCATTTCCTCTGATCACGGAGCAGCCGGCTTGCTTAGTCTTGCAATGAATCCTGGGATTTCCAAGGATAGATACATCGGACGTGTCATACCCGATCCGTCCTGGAAACACGATCCATTCTGCGCATGCGCCGTCAGCTCATTTGCGCATGCACATCCAGATATACTTCCACGTCATCCTCGATTTTATTTTGTTGAATATACCTAAATGACGTTTTCCCTTCCCAAAAACATTAATCATGCATTTCTTGAGAAAATAAATGCCTTAAAATCCTTTCTGTTTTATCACTCGTCTGCCCGATCTGCACCTGAAATGGGATCCTACCTTAATTCCGGGAGCTAACTTTTTCGGCTTTGGATTTAAAAATAAATCTCGTGTTTTTGACTTTTTGTTTTGTTTTAACCTTATGCTATATAGTGTGTAATCTAAAGAAAGAAACAACTAAAATGCAGATAAACATGGTTTAATCATATTTCGCTGGTCTGATGATGACATCAGAGAAGCAGCTTAACGAAGAAATATGAAAAGCATAAAAATTGTCTCACAAAAGTCATAAAACATTTTTACAGATGTGGATTACTATTCTTTAGTGAGTTATGGATATAAATAAGTAGTTTTAGTACCATAATTACATTATTTATGGACACTGAGATGTATGTCTGTTTGCGCATCCACAGAACGGATCATGTTTCCGGGACAGATCGGGTAGTGACAGGACCTATTCTTCAAATCGGACAAAAAAAGTAGGACGCATTTGTCTTGGAATTCGACCAGACCTCGGCGCCGCGCTATGACGTAATCAGCCTTCGAATCTGGCCTTTGGAGGACGCATCCCATGAATTCGAACAGAGCAAGTGTATGAGAAGAAAAGAAAGGCCTCAGACGAGGCAGATATATCCCAGAATGCTTTGCACGGGGGGTTCTCCATGCAAAGCATTATGGGATTTACTGTTGTAGCAGCCCGCTGTCACCATAGGCTGTCGCTTCTCGATAACTGAGACTAATAATAAAGATGCCGCAGGCACCGCAAGGTGGAGGAGGAGTTACGTGACCAATGGGGAGCAAAAACTAGTGATCTGTCTGTACGTCAGGTAACTGAGTTCACTATAAAGTCCCCTATATAGTCCCTGCTCTATAGAGCGATTGAGGGATTTGGAGGTTAGGGCGGACATTTGGACACAGTAAGCTTGTATGAGCTATGAGAAAAGCAACTTTGTGTTGTGCATGTGCATTTTTTTGAATGGAGAAGACAGGTTCGCACAAATCCTCAACAATCCCTTTAAGCAGTTCTCACAGCTTTTACACTTTACCCATCAATCCTTATCTACAGAAAATGGAACAAATAAAGAGGCAGTGATGAAACCAGCCTACATTCTTGAACAAACTGTAAAATGAGAAGAATTTCAAAACAATATCACCATGACAATGCTGTAAAAAAAAAAACAAAAAAAAAACAGCCTCTGGAAATGGACATTTCCAGAAAAATGGACCAGTACTTCCTGCTTGAGTGTCCACCATTGTTATACCTGATACATTTAATGTAGATGATGCCTCGTCTGCAACAGTTTTCCTTGTAACTGTGACAATGGTGAAATTAATTATTAAAAACCTTCTAGCTCAACTAAATAAGATACTCGGGCGAAATAACAAGTCAGAGCTGAGTGACTCGTCTCCATCAGCAGCTCTCGTCAGATGAGGCAATGCCTCTGCCATTGCGTTATCCGATTTTCCTCAGAGACATTGAAGCGGAGCTGATTAATACCCCACAGCTCATTTCTGTTAATGGAAATTAGTATTCCTGATGTCAGAAACTACATCTTACCTCATCCCTTTTCATCTTTAGGTCCTTTCCCTCAGGATCCTCTTGTAAGATCTGTATTTTCAGCTCACACTCTGTGAGAAGCTCCAGCACAAACTGATCTGAATCTGGATGGACTTTAATAGATTTGTCCTCAGGCTAAAAGACACAAAGCAGAAAAAGAAGCTAAATAAGCTTCACTGTCAACAGCAGTGTTGACATAAAGGTGAATTCCTGTTATTTACAAGGTTGATGTGCTGCAGTTTCTCTGCCAGGTTTCCAAGTTGAACTTTGATGGAGCTAAGGGTCTTCTTAAGCCCGGCCAGGCGTTCCGCAGCTGCATCGCGACTCTGCTGCTGAATCTGCAGCTGATGCTCGCTTTTCTCCAACATCTTCATGTCACTATTGAAACCAGACAGAAAACTAAAGCAGAGCACTTAGCAAGGCCTTAAGGCACATGGTCCTATCTGGACAATCTGGACAAGCGTAGGACTCTTCTGCACCTGGACAGTTTAGCTTCCTCAGAGTATTTCATGTCCTCAAACTGTTGAATTCTGAGCTCCTTCTCCTTCTTCAGCTCCAACAGGACCTCCTCATTCTCTTGTTTAAGCTTCTCAAAATGCTGATATTTCTCGTCCTGTAAGATAAACTGCTTCACAAACTCCTGTAGGGTGGATGGATGATATAAGGACAGCATGCAGACGTCCCTGTTTTTGTCACATTTACTGTGGTTTTCCACTTTTATACCTGCATATCTGTGCATCCTGTTGCTTCACTGATTCTCCTGAAAGCCTTCTCATAGGGGAAGATGTTGTTCTCTTCTTCCTCAGTGATCTCAGGACGGACTTGCTGGGTGTCAAAGTCCAAATCATCTGGCTGTGTTATTGTCTTTTGAACCTGTAGGAGTCCCAATTCTCATATTATTATTTTTTACAACCAGTTTAATGCTGATTTATGATGATAAACCCAAGAATGATATATTTTCTATCTCATTGAATGTGTTCAGACAACTAAAATCTGCATTAAACATATTTATCAGTGCTAGAAAACATTGTGTAATTGGCACACATTTAGGTTTTCAAAAATCCCCTTTTCTTAGCTGCTACTCCAAGCTTATTTGTGTCTAAATCTAAACCAGTGTCTAAGTTTGTCTGATTCAGATTGCAATATAAATACTTCTTTATTGAATAAGTCATTCCTCTAAAGGTGAATCATATTTCCATCCTACATTTTTCTCCGCCTTCTCAGCTTGACTCTTGAGTTCTTCACCCTTGTGCCTCAACCTGGCTATGATTTTCTTCCTCTCATTTTCTTTTTTGGACATCTCCCTCTGCAGCTGCTGTAACTCAGCCTGAATGACATCATTACAGAGACACCAGGTTAGAAGGATTAACAGCAGCAAACATGGATAAAAATGCTGCAAACATTCAGTAGTTCACCTTTGTAGCTTCTTTGGCGAGCTGAGCATTATTATTCATGACCTGCATATTGTCAAGCTTCTCTCTGTGCTTCTGATTTTCTTCTTCCAAACTCTCGATCTGTTTTCCGTAAGTCACACTCTCCTGCTAAAAGATTAGGAAGGAAGACTGATGTAAAAACATGTGAGAATAAGTAGCAAGAAACAAGGGAAGCGTATAAAAAGTGACAAGATCACATTTTTATTTTTAGGGCTGCATTTGCAGTATAAACAAAATCAAACAAAATAAAAATATTCAAGATGCAATGAACTGTTCACCCACTGGCCACGCCTACCAAGTGATTTTTTTGTTATTTAATTCAATCCACCTGGAACAAGCAGTTCTCCATAAAGCCTAATGGTGGCAGCAGTGATACCATCATGTGGAATTTCCTACTTTGACATTTTAACGCTGGTATATTAACCTAAAACTGAATACAGAAATGCAGCAAAAAAAAAATAAAAAATCATTCACAATAATTTACTAAAAATAAAGAGGACTAATACAGAATGTTTGACCTTTATTAATTAGTTTTACACTTTTAAAGGGGGGATTCCAAAAAGTAAAAAAAAAACAAAACCCTGGACTTTGTTTTCCAAGATTGAAGACGTTTCGCTTCCCATCCAGGAATCTTTTTCAATTCAAAACATCTGAATTAGCACTGACTTCCAAGCTTTGTAGAGTAGCCCAACAAAGCCTTGTTTTAGCTTAGAAAACATGCAAATTGAATTAAAAGAACAGGTCCGCCCCTTAGAAATTGGAAGTCAAAGGACCACCCTTTTCAGAGGCGACGACTCCCCATTACTAAGGGGCGGACGCTGATTCAGACATTTTGAGTTGATGGGAAGCGAAAACGCCTTCAAACTGGAAACAAAGTCCACTGGATTGTTTTTCCACTTTTTTGGAATGACTATGACCTGGATGACTGAAAATCTTTACCAGCATATTCTATATGCGAGAGTTTGTTTTCTAAAGATGAAGAACATTAACCTGACAACAGCCAGATGCATGTCTCGCTCCGCCTAGCTCCACTCACATACATCTGGGACACCGCCATAGGAATTGCCTTTACTGAAGGCTGGGCCTTATCAAAACT